GAGCAAGGAATTGGATTCGAGTAGGCCGGCAGAGCAGACAGAGCGGAGGGATGAAGTGGCGTTTCTTCGTTTCTTTGCCTTCGGCGGCGATAAAACAGAGCGGACTGGTGAGAGAGAGCAGAGGTGGCTGCAGGGAAGCGATTGCTGGAGGAGGGCAAAGGCGCAGAGGGCGGACTGCGGAGGAAACTGAAAAGAGGTCGGCCATCAAAGTTAGTTCAAAAAACGATGTCGTGCCATTTTAGAGCCGGAAACCGGACATGCAGGTCCGACCAGGTTTTGACCAGCGGCTGCTGACGCACAAAATGGCTTGTTGGCGGGAACCGTTTCCAAGGCTGGGTTTGGTTCGACCTGATCCAACCGACTGGTCTGACTTTGGTTTTGACAACCGTAATTTGCTCACCTCAGCAGGCACTGAAAATCTGAAATGGGCCGGCCCTAAAAGCTCCTGGAGGCCTATAAGCTCGGCAATTAAATTTCGTAATTGGCTTCTATTAGGTTTGGGGTAAATGACACATTTGGTCACTGAGATTACTAAATCGTGTCATATTTAGTCACTAGAAAAATTTAATATCAATTTTGGTCACTCGAATTACTGAAACAGGTCACATTTGGTCACTTTTCTGTAGCCTCTGTCCAACTCCGGTCACTCGAATTATTGAAAAATGTCACATTTAGTCACTCGGATTACTGAAACATGTCACATTTAGTCACTCTCCCAAAAGTTTCCGTCCAACTACATTAATGGAGTTGGACGGAAACTGACGGGAGAGTGACTAAATTTGACCAGTTTCGGTAATTCGAGTGACCAAAATTGATATTAATTTTTTCTAGTGACTAAACATGACACAATTTAATAATCTCAGTGACCAAATGTGTCATTTACCCATTAGGTTTGTTTGGATAAGAAATTTTGATAAGGAGAAGGAGGGATTGAGGAATTTTTTTTAAATTGCTATTCGTTGCTCTAAAAATCCTTACTCACGTGGTCCCAAACCGAATAAAATTTGATAATGTATATAAAGTATGAAATTTGATAATGTATTGAGGTGTGTAGCTTATTGTTATATAGTTTTTTTGAGAAACACGTGATAAAAATAGTGAATTTTAGTAGGAAATAGACATGAATAATGCAACGAATTAAAAATAGCCTTATGAACCAAAATCAAGTACCTATTACCTTGTGAAACAATATTGTTTCTGGTAATATGATAAGGTGGAGTAAGTGTTATAGAAACCGAATTCCAGAAAACCGAATAAAAATCGCCTATCTCGTCGGTTTTCGGGAAATGATCATCCCACAATCGTTGCTAGCTTATACTCGGCCCGTTGGCCAAATAATTTTATTTATTAAACTTTCATCTTGTCGTCATTGTGCTTTCTGGTTTTTGCTAGGCCATGACAAAATCTAAAGAAATCAAGAATGAACAACACGATTTGGGATAGGAATCACCATTCCTGTATCCCTAGAAAATGGTAGTAAACAAGGAATCACCTGCCAAACTGGTTTGGATTGAGATTTTTATCCGGCATCAGGGAACCATGTGATTATAAATTAGACTAGATCAAAACGGGCCAAAACTTGAAATTCGGCCTGTTTGACCGACTCATACCAAACTCTAATTATTCTTTACTTTTAAAATTTGACTTAAAACGATAGAGAAATTGTCTGTTAAAAGTTAAAGGAAAAAATTTAAAGACTATCCATAAGTAATAGGGGGTGTTGATGTGGCGAATTATGGTTGGGTTATGCATGGTTATTAACCAATAAGTTACCGACCAGATCCGTTAACGACCATAACCTAACTAATAATTGAGAATTTATTATTATTATTATTATTATTATTATTAACAATCTCACTCAATCAATCGCAACTAAACTACCAAACCACCCTAATATGCAACAAATGTGTCACTTGCTTCAACAATGGGGATGCAAATGTACTACCGGCCGGCGGCTACATCTCAAGAATGGGTTCATTATGAGCCCAATTGTGTCACTTGTTTTGGTTGAATTGCCACCTACAGCCAAAAAGTGATTTTCCAGTATCCCACTTTATTCTTAGTAGATCTTGTACGGTTATTTGAATGGCCGAATTAATAAAAGGCTTTAATTGATTTGATAGGAAATTCCCAGATTTCGCACATATTCATTCTATCCCCCTAGTTATTAGTATCATTCTAATCTGCTGGACGGTGAAGACTTAAAACGTTTTAGATGGATGAGCTTTCAGCATATGGATTTTGATTTGGATGCATTATCCCATAAGAACCCTAACTTTTCGCATCTATCAGCTTAAACCTGATCATTGATCACCAAGTAGACAAGATATTGACAAATTGACATTAGTAGTATATATAATATACCCAACGGGTGCTAAATTAATTCCAGAAGATTGCAAATTTGCACTCTTGGCAGCCGATCTACAAATGCGATGAACCCTTCATCGCTTAAAGCATAAGCGATGAACGTGGATCGCTGATTTTGCAAGCAATCAACGGTTGGATCGTGCCATTTGGGGAATTGGTGCTTCATAACTATACCAACATAGTATCAGGCATGAATGGTCATGATATATATAAGTTTGTATCATGGTGTTATATTTACATACCATCAATGTACATGATAGTTTCAAGTAGTGCATGAAGAAATTATTTATATCGTAATAATTTTTGTTTTAAAGTTTACCAAAGTTTATATTATTTTGTAATTACAATTAAGTTGAACTTATTGAAAAAACGGAATGAAATTAATCAACTAGGTTAATGCTCACAACCAAAAACTTAGAAATAGAGACATTGAAGATGTTTGCTTTAGTTTGATGTCAAGGTATAAACTCATATGCTTAATTGTTATCAATTTTCTTTAAGGTTTATTTTTTGCAAAGCAAACTCTTTTGGTTTGACTTATTGTTTAAGATGTAAGTTTATGGCTGAAAAGTTTAGCTTTATTAATTATTTGAAAGGATGAATATCAAATTCAATATATATGCACTTTTATATCTTAGAAAAATTATTAAAAGTATATTTCATTTAATAAAAAAAATACTAAGTTGAATGTAAGGAATATTTTAATGGTTGCATCTCACATAATTTGGTCTTGTTATGTAATCGTGTAAATTTTAATGTTTAGAGTTCGAGAATTAATAGATAAGACTACATAGTTTCACTGTACTGACTTCAGAATATATGGTTATTGCTATAAGGGACATACTTCATGGGGTTTTGGGGTTATATGACAAAAATTAGACAAATTATATTTTAGAAAATGTTTATCATAATTATCCTCTGAAACATTTTCTTATTTGGAGTTTGAAAAAATTGGGTTCAGAGTTTAATGTACTTTTTTTTACAGAACCTGTAATCAAATCATTAATCGGAATTTGCTGCTACATCATTCAGTTTATTCCGATCAACTAAGTAAATTGGCGGTCGATCCAGCCAAATAATCCGCTCGTCCCATCTAGTACGAGCATGAGCCATAATGTGAGCAGCTTCATTAGTGGATAATGGCTAAATATCCTAAAATTTAATGTACTTTATGTAGGCTCTTAGTGGATAGTGGCTAAATATCCTAAAATTTAATGTATTCTTTCTGGAAGATTGAGTTGAGAGTTACGAGTTAAAGGTTGGATATTGATTTTGTTTTTTATTTTTTGTTTATAATGTGATTCTATGGTTGAATAACATAATTAGCAATTATTGGGTTCAGAGTTTGATGTATTATGCCCAATACAACTAAAAGTTCCGGCCAACTTTGTTTTTTTAAAGTGTGGTTCATTAAGAATGCAATGGGCAAGTCCAAAAGAAAAGATACAAACAGTGTACTACATGGGCTAAAAGTCAGAAAAAACAAGAACCCAGCAAACCTGGAACCCAATAGGGCCCAAAGTCCAGGACCAAAACATAATTTTTTAACCCTAACCCTAGCAGCCACTGCTCCCCTCTAGAACTCCGCCACCAAGGATGAAACCGCCGCCGCTTGACTGGAACCAAACAACGCCTCCACATCAGAGGTAGAGAAAGCAAAGGAAAAAGATCCACCACCCGGATGGCAGGCTGGTGAAGAAACGATCTTCAACGAAACTCACCCCAAGTCGCTCGAAACGTCCACCTCCCGCCGCACGAATCCCAAGGGAAGCCAAACAAACTCGAACGGTCGGACAATGGAGGAAGTAGAGGGGAGACGATCTTCTGTCTTCAAGCTCTCCAGACCGCATCCGTCGCCAAGGGCTACAACTCCGAACCACCAAGATATGCAAGATGAGAGCAAGTAGGTAGATTTTGGAAAGGAGAGGAGAAGACAAGCCAGATCTGAAATCAGATCTAGCCTCCTTACATCTTAGATCGGACAATCATCTCTAGTTTTGAATCACCCGAACAAATGGCCAAAAATCAACCCATCTGAAGGGAAGGACATCAACCCACAAGGGGAGAAAAAAACATGCATGAAAGCAAAGCAACAAAGGACTCGAAAATGCAGAAAAATGAAGACAAAGCAAGGAACCAGAGCGGGAAAACGCCAAGGGGTCGTTTGGATCCAGTAATTTGAACAGGGATTTGGCCCAAATTCTGGCCCGTCCAGGAATTTAAAACATTCTCCTGTTTGGATAGCTAAAAAAGAGGGCGAGATTTGGGCCATCCGAATTTTGAAATCCGGCCCAGCCCGGAATTAGAAATAGTTGCTAGCCCCCAGCTATTTTAAAATCCGACCCCAATTTTTTGGCATTTTCCCAGTGTGTCCCTAACTCATCTCCTTTCTCCTCTTCCTCCGCCCACCACCATATCCACCTCCACCGCCGCCCCCGACTCATTTCTTTTCACCACTTCAACATGCCTCCACCGCTCGTGGATCGCATTAACTATCCCTTCAGTAATTCTAGCTTTCCCGACTTTCAATTTCCTCTTCTCGACAATCCCAATCGTCGTTAGTCACCGCCGCTCGGACGGCGGTAAGTTGAACTCAGCTAGAGTGGGTACCTTTCCCTTCCCTCTTTCCTCCTTCATCTTCTCCCATGACGAAGTTTCCATTGGCGTCGACAATTTCCTTGAGGATGGGGTTGTGCATGTCGGAGAAAGATCCCAAAGAGGCGCCGTTTGATCACAATGGTGACCACGCCCATACCTGAATTCCTTTCTCTTTGCATAGCTTCATCAATTCCTTCTGCTGCCATCTTGTGTTCATTTCCACCTGCAAAGTTGAGATTAATTAAGTGGACACTAATAAGTCTTTGTTTCTGCTAATTGGTTGCGTGTGTACTTTTCCGAGGGGTACTCCAGCTAGGGTCCAGAGTGTGACCCACTTGGTGCTTGGGCAAGCCATTGGGCGGAGGGATTAAGATTTCGCCTGGGTTGGAACTGAAATTTTTCGTTTGCCGTTCCGAGTCGGAGGAGGATGAGTCGTCCTCGAAGAAGCCGACCAAGCGGAGCTTGTCGACGATGCGCTGATTGCGGTTTCGGGGGAGGGTCCGGGACTGGGGAGACGGCAGGACCATCGAGTTGTACCATGGCGCTCTGGTTCTTCCTTTTTTCCAGCGGATCTGGGTTTGCAAGAGCAGAGTGTGGCAGATATGGTAACTGGCAACAAGAACCCAGATTGGGAAAGTGAGGACGGCGATGGTTGTCTCCATTGAGAGGAGGAAGAGAAGTGGGGTTATGTGCAAAATGTGTTGAAAAGGGTAGATTCGTAATTTGATATGTATCAATAAAAACGAATTTCTTATTAATGAAATTCTTATCCGTAAACAAACAGATAAATTGCCAAAATCCCTTGTTTAAAATCTCTGGTTTTGTAAAAGGGGAAATTAAGTCTAAATCCCTTGTTTAGACATTTCCCCATCCAAACGACCCCAAAATGGAAAGGAAAGCAGAAAATCATATAGGGCGGAGAGTTGGCACCGGCGGCAGCTCCCACGTCTGCCTGGAAGAGGGGGTTTTTAGAGAGAGGTCAGAGGAAAAAGAAATAGAGAGAGAGGATGAACGAGAAGGCGTAGATCAAAACAAGGGATGCTAATCCAGAATTAAATCAAAGTTTAATCTTACTGATAGTCTATAAACAAGGGATGCACTCAAAAAGCTTAACCAAATACATTACAATCTTCTCTTCTCAAGTTCCCAGAGCAATTCAAGGTTATTTTGTCAACAAGGTTCCAACTTCTGATTAGATGTCATAAACACACAGAATAGAAAGGCCTGTAAGACAATGAAACTTCTAACTTTTCGAACCTTCAAGACTCTGCAAGAGATGCTCAATCCTGTACTTCATAACAGGCTGACCATGTCGCGTCTTCTTCAACATCCTCTCCTTAGCAGCTTTCCTTTTAGCTTCTGCCCTGGCTCTTTCCACTTCCTTTGCCTTTCTTATTGCATCTCTTTCCATGTTTGCTTTCTCAGTCTCTTCACGCTTCCAGTCATACACTTGTTTCAAACTGTATGGATTCTTCTTATCCTTATTCTTCTTCTTGTTGCCGTCGCTTTTAACAATCCTACTACCTTCTCCAGTCGCACTCCCATCATGCGTCTTCTCGCTCTTTTCGACAACCGCATGACCTTCACCAGTATCATTCCCATCCTGAAACAATCAAATCAAATGTAAGCAGCCAGCTGAAGTCCAAGCAATTTAGTCCACATGGGTATGCGTAAAAATAAACTCAGCTTGGCTTAAACCATAGCAGAGCACCCCAAGAATTGGAGGACATCAATTCTGCCACTTCTAAAAGATTCCATACCAACGATCAAAGACGAAAGAACACCTCTTTCAATTTCATATATACGTGATTGTTGATAATTCTACAGACAACATTCTGAGACCGCCACGAACAGCCATTTTCGCAGACTTGTGGTGGAAAGCTTAGTACGAATAAACCCATATTGGATGAAGAGTAAAGAAATAAAGAACAAAAGCCCAAGAGAGCCGTCAAGCATAGTACCTTTGTTTCCATTACCGCTGGTGTTGGATTAGTTTGACGATTTTCTTGCTTCATCTGCTTCTTAAACTTGCCCACGTACTTGGCATTCTTGTAAAACTCCCTTTTCTTCTCTACAGGACAACATGAAGTTTTAGCATGTCAATAAACCGAGCAATGGGAGGCATAAAACCCTAAAAAGAAGACTTCCAATTTCTTACAAAACGATGTTTGGTTGTGTACATAATGCCCTAGAAATCACTCACAAATTGACCAGAATTCAAAGGCAATTCAATCGATGGAAACAACCAAAGTAGGCTCTCGCAACTCGGATTGCCAAAGGGAACACAGGTATCTACTTGCATGGAAGGGACCTAACTTCTCGATTACGCCATTACGAAGGCAAAATTGAGTTGACAAAGAACCAGAGGGAGTTGGCCACTCACTTATTATGGCAGGATTGTAATTATTGGTGGTGGATTTGATGCTGGCGAAGGTTTCAAGAGAAAGGCCCCCGCTGCCGCCTCCCAGCCTCTTCATGTTGCTTTTCTTCTTCACGGCCGATGGTTTCAGGGCGTCGAATTTCGTCATCGTTGGTGGAGCGAAACGAAACTTTGGCTGCAGAAAATTGAAAAGCTCGCCAACCCTAATCTCGCAGCCGGTGGCCTGCTGGAACTGGAATTGGAGCGGCCAGAGGAAGACGAGAATCGAACGACAGAGCAAGGAATTGGATTCGAGTGGCCGGCAGAGCAGACAGAGCAGAGGGATGAAGTGGCGTTTCTTCGTTTCTTTGCCTTCGGCGGCGATAAAGCAGAGCGGACTGGTGAGAGAGAGCAGAGGTGGCTGCAGGGAAGCGATTGCTGGAGGAGGGCAAAAGGCGCAGAGGGCGGACTGCGGAGGAAATTGAGAGGATGTCGGCCATCAAAGTTAGTTCGAAACGATGTCGTGCCATTTTAGAGCCGGAAACCGGACATGCAGGTCCGACCAGGTTTTGACCAGCGGCTGCTAACGCACAAAATGGCTTGTTGGCGGCGGGAACCGTTTCCAAGGCTGGGTTTGGTTCGACCTGATCCAACCGACTGGTCTGACTTTGGTTGCTCACCTCAGCAGGCACTGAAATGGGCCGGCCCTAAAAGCTCCTGGAGGCCTATAAGCTCGGCATTTAAATTCCGTAATTGGCTTCTATTAGGTTTGTTTGGATAAGAAATCTATCTACCAAATATATAATGGCAAAACATGAGTTCATTTTTCAGCATTTTGAAAATAGAGCTCTAGGAGCGTTTCCCGGATGGGTACAATGGATATTTCACCATCATTAAATGACGCCGTCATGCGAAGCCCAAAAATATTTCAAGCCCATTTTGTGTTCCCTGTTGTCTTTTATTGTGCGGCCCATATCAACAAATCACATTATCACCACCCGTTAGCTTTTCATCCTTTTTCTTCTGTTTATCAAAAATATGTATGTATGATTGTATGCGTCATGTATGTATGTATAACTTTTTTATGTACATGTATTTATAATTGTATATACATAAATGGGAAAAAGCTTCCACTGAAATCTCTTTGATATGTGTATACTTGCATTGGAGGATTGGTTAAAGTTGAACCCAATTTCGGTTGTCAATTATTCAGTATGCTAGCTTTTCTTTCCTTGCGTCCATTGGGATAATTTTCTAAATTTTATGCAATAAGATCAAATTAATTAGATAGAATGCATATAATATTGCAAGTCGCAAGAGCTGAATTTATCTATGAAGAAATCTAAATTCCATGTACATTAGGAGACCTTTGATCAGAATTGTACTCAAGTACTCTTTGATTGCTCAATTTGTAGATATAATACCCAATCAACCCCATTCAAATGTGGTTTGTGTACTTACTTCATTGTACGTGGAAAAATCAAAAGGTGTTGCATATTCAAGATATCTTTAACATTGTATAATTAGATTTTCATTTTTAGATTATAAGAACATGATCCAATTACTATGATGGTTCGCCATTTGTAGGGGAGTATTATGGAAGTATTACTTTGTTATATCCGAAGTATCCAAATTATATTTGAACTTGAGTTATCCTCTATTGCACCTCATACTAAGCCAAAATGTAAATGTTCTTCTACATACATACAATATATATGCATGGGAGCTCAATCATACTTAGGGTGAATCAAGGGTACCTCATATATTGAGTAAGAAGATACTATCGAGACTTTTAATTGACCAAACTTGGGACGTCATATTAAACCCTCATTCTTATAAATTACAATCTAGGTTTTAATTTTCTAAACCTTATAGATTAAATTAAATTAATTAAAACTTATTATCAAAGATCATAATTCCTTGAAATACATGCAACAAACTACATGCATCAAATTAGAGTTTAGGGTTTGTAATTAGATGAATAGGACCTATGATTTGCTCATTAAGGGTTAGGGTATAGTATTAAGCAGGAAATCTAATAAATTTGGGATATAGATAGCATTTTCTTACTAAAATATGAGGTATCATAGATTTATCCTATGTATGATATAAGTCATCATATATATAATATATGTGATATTAGTTACACATGATAAACTTTGCTATATGTTAATGCTCATCCTAAACTAAGGAAAATGAGGAACAGCATTAAACATTCAGACTCATAAACAACATGCATAGATCTCTTCAATTGAAGACCTAAATTCATTTCGGTTATCTCCTTTGAATATGACAAGAGATTTGGAAATCTTCACGTTTGAAATGGAGCTATCTTCTGTGTACCTTACTTTCATACATCTCCATTATTTGAGTCTATATTCTTAAGAATTGTAAATTACTACATTGTTGTTGGTCATTTTTGTGATTTGACAGTCAAAATTGTTGAACACTTTGCATCATGCCATGTATCTTTCACAAATCCATCAATTTCGTATCCATAATACGTGTTGTGGTCAATAAGAATGAACTCTGTTAGGAAAAACATTTCATGGACACAATGAACGCCATTGAAGAACAATCGTTTTCTTTTAAACTTGATTAGTTATGTGTCATGAGAAGCAACTCCATTATTCACCTACATGCCTACTTATGTAGCCAACCTTTGTTTTATAAATAGAGAAAGACTATTAGCGGTATTTCATTGCATAAAAAACACATTATTATACGCCTCCAATACATATAGTATACATCATTACCAAACTCTCCCGGCCAACGTGCATAGAACACACATTATTATACGTCTCTAATACATATCATATAGATAATTACTAAACTCCCCGGACAACAGGTCGGGTCCAGTGCTAGTTTTGATAAGGAGGGATTGTAGGATTTTTTTACGTAAATTTGAAGTTTGGTCACTGGATTTATTAAAATGTTTCATGTTTAGTTACTGGTAAAAATTAATATTAATAATGGTCACTAAGTTTAGGAAAATATGTCATGTGTGGTCATTCTCTAATAGTCTCCTTCCAATTTCGTTAATAAAATTCGTTAAGTGCTGACGTCGCGAAAAAATTGCCTAATCAGCCGGATTTAACGTGGAAAACACTAAACTCAACCCGCCACATCATCACAACCCACGACGTCATAAAAAAAATCCTAACTCAACTCAACCCAATACAAATCCTAACCCAACCCAAACATATCATGATCTAGACCTTCTCCTACTAATAAGATTATCAATTCATTATAATTTAATTAATCAAACATTGTTCATCTATATATGTCACGAAGCGCGGGCCATGCCTATGCACTAATATTGAATTTGGACTTTTTTTTGTGTGCATATCCTTACTATATTTCCTATTTACTTTGCAATGTATGTGGACAATATCATTTAGGAATCCCCATTGTTAATCTGTGGTGATGACTGAAATTACAAGAGAGCTTTGTGAGTATAATATAATTATGGGACCCCATGGTTTCGGTTCATTTATATAGATGTAATATAAACTTTTTAGATCTAAGTGTGCTTATAAAATCCGGATCTAAGAGTTGAGAATTATAGGTATTTTATTTTTTTTTTGTTATAACTTGGATTTCAATTTTTTTTTACAAATGAAACAAGTTCGTTGTGCTCTACAAAATAAGATAAATTTTTAATATATTTTGAAAAAAAATTCATATCTCCCGTTACCAACTACATAGCATATGGTAACTTCTTCATTTTTAAGTCGTTTTAGAAAACGTTTGCTCAGAAGGAACGAGTTCATCATGATCTATTGGATCTACAAATTTCTGGGTGAAAAAAATACAGGACAAAAAACTATCATACTTTACCACTATGGTATGTGGGTGGTAATTTGTGGTAAATAATGATGAAAGTCGTAAATGATTAGTGTACTCCTACTATCATGTATTCAACCTTCATACCATTATGGTACGACGTACGCTTTCTTACCATATGGTATTAAATAAGAGCATACCATATGGTATTAACTGGTAAAAAAGACTCAATTATTTTTGTTCTAAAAATATATCAAAGTGGATATCATTTTAAAGAGCACAAGTAATGTGATTTATCTGTGCAAAAAAAATTTAAATTTCAACTTAAAACGAGAGAGAAATCGTACGTTAAACATTAAAAGGGAAAAGATAAAAGACTTTCCACTTTCCATGAAAGATGGGATCCTGATGTGGACCGATTGCTCATGGTTACTCACCATAAGGTTACTGACCTGATACACTCCCGGATTATAGATGGGTATCATGGATGTAGTCATCACCCAGAACTAGGGGTGTTCAAACGGATTGGTTATCGTGACAACCATATTAACCGGTAACATTCGGTTAATTTGGTTTGGTTAATTTGGATAATTGGTTTGGTTAAACAATTTAGCTTATTTGGTTTAGATGGTTTGGTTTGGTTTCAACACTGTTAACCAATGAAACCAATTAACCAATTAATGATACACATAATATACAAAATTATTTATACTTCCATGCAACCAACCAAACGAAACTTTCGTAACTCCCTATTTTATTTCCATGTGCAAACAAGCCAAAACATTATGGATCAAAAATTAAATGGGCCTGCCTATATTTACTATGAATCAAAATATTTTGGACAACTACTAGACTTTAGGATTACGTACAATACCATGACAAACACCTCAAACTATGTATAGTTTAAGTGTTTTGTAGGAGAGCTTTAACTTCTTGATGAGGGGTATTGGTATGTATTTATGTTAAAGGGTTTGTTGTAAGCTACCTATATTAGGTGCAGAGGTGATGAATGGTGTATTAACTCGAATGATGATGATAATTATGGATGGTTAATCTTATTATTATTGCTTATATAAAAAAGGATAGTTTATGTTTGTTTTCATGTAATGTTATGTTATTTGGTTAATCCGATCATCCGATTAACCAAACCAATTAAACTTTGGTTTGGTTAATTTAGTTTTCGTATTAATTTGGACGGTTTGGTTAAGACATTTTATTCAATGGTTAATGAAATTTAGTCTTAATTTACCACGGTAACCATTTGAACACCCCTACCCAGAACCCAAAATATGAACAATGGGTGAAAATTGCGGATTGCTAGCTACCTGCTATGAGCACAAGGTACTCACATGAAGCTCAAAAGTACTATACATCCCTTTGTGTTTTATCATCAGAAAGTTAATCTGTCGCGTTTTTTTCTCTCGAATTACACATCAAAGCTGGTCAATCTGTCCTGAACTCCTGATCAGCAACCTGACATAAGCTAGACATGAACATTGATGTATCCAATCCCAACCTACCCGAATAACTAATCTAAATGTAGCAAACCTATGGGGTCAAATCACCCACAACAAACTTTCATGTTCTGTTCGCATACATATGAAATTCTGAAGTTGTAGAGGAAAACTTTGCTGGAGGCATGGAAAGCAAATGCACATTTCTGATACCAATCCACAACAAATTGCAGAACGTCTGAGAGCAGGGAGTTGCAAA